TGAGACCTTTCAGAAGCAGATTGTCAAGCTTTTCTTCAGAGGCACCTCTGGGTGAGTTCAAACCACCAACCTTTAGGTTAGTAGCTGAGCATTTCACTGTTTGCTCTTACGGTCTGGAATCTCTAATTCTCTGATGGATAAGTGACCACATTATGATCCTGAGCTTTTAGCCCAGTAACCTCAGTCCATTTTAGATATTAAGTTATACCCTCTCAAGTTGATTGGAGCCTTGGTGGTGCAGTGGTTAAGAGTTCGGCTGTTTGAATCCACCAGCCGCTCCTTGGAAGTGCTATGGGGCAGCTCTACCCTGTCCTATAGTGTTGCTGTGAGTTGGAATCAACTCTACGGCAATGGGTTTGGTTTTATGCTTAAGCTGATTAAATATTTTACAACCCTAGAAAGGTCTGGACATAAGTGTATAGATAATGAAGTAGATCAAACCAGTTATATTTAGTTCAGCATAATATACATGCAAATGTAATTTACCAAATCTGGCATACTGGATTCTAGGATTTTAAACTGAAAGGTCTAAGAGAATTTGATTAATTCTGTAAAAAAACCAAATTCGTTGTCTTCGAGGCAGTTCTGACTCATAGCAACCCTATAGGACAGGTTTCCAAAGTTGTAAATCTTTATGAAAGCAGACTGCCGCATCTTTCTCCCACAGAGGGGCTGGTGGATCCGCGCCTCCGATTTAACAACCAAGTGCTTAACCACTGCCACCAAAAAGCAAAAAAACCAAACCCGCTGCGGTTGGAGTCAATTCCAACTCAGCGACTGTATAGGACGGTGTAGAACTGCCCTATAGTTTCTTAGGAATGGCTGGCAGATTCAAACTGCGGACCCCCTGTTTAGCAGCCAAGCTCTTAACCTCTGCGCCACCAGCGCTCCTTACTTCCGTAAATAGTACTGAAATATTTAGACTATTTAGGAAAATTTCTCTTACTTTTTTACATGTTTAATTTGTTAGATTTACTTGAAAGTGGTCCTGTCAAACATTTTAAATGGTTAAAAAGCACCTATCTCAATATATAATGCAATTTAAAATGTTAAAGGTAGTACTAAAAAAAAAAAAATCCAGCCGTCAAGTCGACCCCGACTCAGCGACCCTATAGGACAGGGTAGAACTGCCTCATAGAGTTTCCAAAGAGCGCCTGGTGGATTCCAGCTGCCGACCTTTTGTGGTGAGCAGCCATAGGTCTTAACCACTACGCCACCAGGGTTCCCAAAGGTAGTATAATCAACAAAATTTGTAAATAAGGTCGTTCAAGAACATTTAATTTCTTTATCTTGAGTTGCTCTAATATGAAAGAACAAATGAAAGTTGTTGCTCTTATTTAATACAAAAATTATTAGGTAGTTAAATTGCATAACACGTATTTTGAAGTTAGAAATAAAGGCTTAGAAGTTAGGTGTTTGAATTTGTAACTTTCATAGATTGAACATTTTAAATTCCAAAATTCTATAAGTAGTACTTTCTGTGTAGAAGAGTTCCCTAACCCCCATTGGAAACGTATATATTTCCAAGTGCATGGATTGCCTTTCTGGCTGTAATGTAAGTTTCTTGAAGGCAGGGACTTTCTGCTTTATTTTTTTTAATCTCCATGAGGTTGATCACAGTGCTATCTATGCACATAACAGTTGACCTATAAATATTTGAAAGAAAGAATGAATGATTAACAGACTCAACATTTATTTCTCATAAGACCTTAAAAAATCACCATCATTACCTCTGCAGTGTAATTCCCAGTCATTTGTAATAAGAATTCATGAACACCATAGACCGTCGCAATAGACAAAGCAGAAGATATTAATAGTTTGGACTAAGCTGTGCCAATGACCTTCAGCCAAAGAGCCCCAGGAAAACAGCTGTAGCTGAACAAGTTGAGTTTGTTACTAGTTATGGAGAAAGAACTTATCGCAGGGAACCATGAACCACGAGGTATCTCCGTAAGAGGGTATCCGAAAGAACCAGTTATAGGATTTTGGCTTTGGTTAGGTGGTTTGGGGGAGGGTCTAAGGAAGTGTAGGTATCCTTTTAGATTGGATGTTGTCTCAGCGAGTGGGGGCAATTCTATGACTGAGTATGTCAAGTAATCTTAACTTTAGGGAGAGCAAACTAGAAAGACGATAAAGCTGTAACTGGCGAAGAAGTAGCAGTAGTTCTTTTTAGCTAAGAGGGGGTGTTTGGTATTTTGGGGTGGCGCAGTGGTCTTGTTTTTGTCTGTGCTTAGACAAATTCATGAGGGGGGATTGGTTTCTCTCATTTTATCATGGTCTCAGAGTAACCTTGTATGAAGATGGTATTCTGTGAGGGTTTTTTTGTTGTTCTTTAGATGAAGGTTTACAGAACAAATAGTTTCTCATTAAGCAGTCAGTACACATATTGCTTTATGACAATGGTTAACAACCCCCTGACATGTCAACACTGTCCCTTCTCAACCTTGGGTTCCCTATTACCAGCTTTCCTGTCCCCTCCCACCTTCTAGTCTCTGTCCCTGGGGTGCTGCACCCCATTAGTCTTATTTTGTAGGCCTGTCTAATCTTTGGCAGAAGGGTGAACCTCAGGAGTGACTTCATTACAGAGCTAAAAAGATGCCTGGGGGCCATACTCTTGGGGGTTTATCCAGTCTCTGTCAGGCCAGTAAGTCTGGTCTTTTTTTTCTGTGAGTTAAAATTTTGTTCTACATTTTCCTCCAGCTCTGTCTGGGACCCTCTGTTGTGATCCCAGTCGAGCAGTCAGTGGGGGTAGCCAGGCACCATTTAGTTGTACTGGACTCAGTCTGGTGGAGGCTGTGGTAGTTGTGGTCCATTAGCCCTTTGGACTAGTCTTTCCCTTGTATCTTGCTTTCTGCATTCTCCCTTGCTCCGGAAGGGGTGAGACCAGTGGAGTATCTTAGATGGCTGCTTCTGTGAGATTTTTTGTCCAATAGGAAAATAACATGGCCTAGCTAGGAGTGTCAGGTCAGCTTTCAACTGTCAGGGGCTACTCTTTTCTTCTTTCTCAAGTGGTAGTAAGAGGAGATAGAGAAAAGTAAATAAATTCAAGAGTTATTCAGAACACAAAGTCAGCATAATTGGACGTGGGGGCAGAAGGTGAGGTCAGGGATGATTTCTAGGTCTCTGTCTTGCAAACAAGAGATTGGTGGTGCCATTCACAAAAACAGTGCCAGCTTTGTATTACCTGCTAATTTAATCCTTACCAAAAATATATGCGTGGTTAACATTATCATACCCATTTTACTGATGGGAAATTAAGGTTTTAGTAAGGCTTAATGCCTTGCCCATTGTCACCTGGAACCAGGACTTAGATTCAGGTTTGCTTGACTTCCATAGTCATAATGACTTTTTACTTTATCTTTTTATAATTAAGTATTTTAGTCAATATCTGATATCTTTCCAAAACTTTCTGAATTGTTTGTCCTTTATTCAGTTGATTAAAAAGGAGCCAGAATCAAATCTGTTGTGAGAAAAGTTTTCTAAAGAGAATGGCTTCAAAGTGATATTATTATAATGTTGTCATCATAGTGAAGAGACTATGTTACAATTATACATTTTGTTATTAGAATCATTTCTAAAGGTAGAAATTTATGAGATATTAGGAATCCATTTCAATAGATCAGAAAAGGAAATTATGACAAGAAAAATATCATTAGACACTATATAGCATAATATAAAATATGAATGAATACATGAGATAAGGGTTTTTAATATTTTACTCTTTCAAAAATTTATGTACAGTAAGATTAAAACAATACAGTTGTACATTCGACTTTTCCTGTGGATCTGTTCATCTGCATTGCAAGGGTTGCTAGGTAATAATTGCACTGGGATACGGTTATTCTGAATTTCTTCCTCATGGTCAAGGATAGTCATTAGGGACTAATAGGCAAGGTACCCTCTGCCAGGTTGGCTCCCTAGATTTTGCTGGCAAAAATACTCTTGCAATGCTCTCGTATCCTCCCCTCCCAAATATTCATCTCTTTTTTTTGTCACTCTCTTATACAGTGAACATATCTTTGGGAAAAGCACCTCTCTCTCTCTCTCTCTCTCTCACACACACACACACACACACACATACGGTAGGAAATCTTGACCTGGTTGGCATTGCTGAGAACAAAAGACCCACCAGAGAATAGCTCTTTCTTCTTCTCTACACTCAAGCAACTCCCCTCCGAGCGTTCACTGGTTATTATGTGTGAAGATTGTGGTCATGGTTGTTGTTTCTCAACTATGAACTTCTTTACAAGGATCTGTGTTTTCAGAGTGCCTGCTACTTGAGTGTCTGCTGCTTGAGGCATCAACTCATTGTTAGAGTTCTTCACAGTCCTCATCCATTTTAAGATCCTTTATTAAAATAGCCTGAAGGTGACCATCTATATCCCATACCAAAAACAACAACAAGAATCCACTACGTACAAACATAAAGACATGCCTCAGACAATTATAATGTACAGCACGTGCTTGGATATTAATGCTTTGGAAAGATGATTTGCCCAGACTCTTTCATTAGGAGATATCATGGCCTGATGGAGGAGTTTGCTATTTGAAACTGAACCCCAAAGGAAAAGAGTAGAAAACCCTACCACTAATACCATTGAAAACTCAAATGGATCAAATAATAAAGGATATTGATTATAACAACATTTGATCATCTCACCTTGATTTTAAGGATCTACTTTCCGTTCTCACTCTGCCTAAAAGGCACAGAGAACATTGACACTTTAAGATGCTCCCAGGCCCTGCAGTTCTGACATTTCCCAGTAGGGGACATTGTTGCATTAAAAACTGCACCAGTTTCAGCATTAACTAGGTGGTCCTGTGTTCCTTCTCTATTTTCAAGACATGTTTTTATGGGAAGACATATATATGAATATTTTTTCTTTAAACTCAAAGAAAGTGAGAGTTGAAGACAAAAAACAGAGAAGCCTTGAAGGATTGTTCTTTCGCTGATTATCTTCAGCAGAGATTTCATTTTATGTGACTTGCTGAGGCTGGTATCAAAGTCCCAAAGTACGAAACGCATCTCGTAAGTCATCGACTTCATATAGGGGCTGTACAGAAAGAGAAATAAATTAGTGGAGAGCTTGAAAATTGAGTGTGTGCTGGTGAGGGCAAAAGGGGAGTGGGATTCTAAACCGGCTGGGTGGGTTTTTAAGATTTTTGAATAAAGTAGGGAGGGAGTGGAGCCCTGGTGGCGCAGTGGTTTAGAGTTCGGCTGCTAACCAAAAGGTAGGCAGTTCAAACCCACCAGCCACTCCTTGGAAACCCTACCGGGCAGTTCTCCTCTGTCCTATAGGGTCACTATGAGTCAGAATCGACTCTAGGGCACCTAACAACAGAAACAACAACAAGGGAGGGAGAAGAAGAGGAGATAGGAGGAGGAGAGGAAGGAATTCTGACCGGGAGGAAAACAGTGCTGAGAGAAAAAAAACACTGTGAGACAATGAAAAGGGTGGCGACGGGGCACACAAAGGAATCTTAGCAGAAGGCTGAGAATTAAGAAAGAGCAGAAGAGAAACTAATTTGTGCGAGAAATAACGCCTGTAAAAAAGACAAAGAGAAAAATAAATGTTTCATTAGAAGAAAAATTATGGACAGTAGTAAAAAAAAGAAAATATAAGAAGCCCCAGGGAAAGACTATGGAGAGAGAAAGAAAATGAGAAGCAACGGCGCCCCTTACCAAGAGAATTCGTCGAAGCTGTCTGGATAGTCGAACCGAATTTTCATGCAGTCCCTCCCAGGCCTTGAAAGTCCGTTCATGATTTGCCACAAAAGTATTCCAGCAATAAAAATAATCTTAAAAAAAAAAAAAAAGGTTGAAGACAGTTCACCACCACCAGTTGCTGTGGAGTCGATTCCGACTCATGACAACCCTACGTATGTCAGAGGAGAACTTTGCTCCATAGGGTTTTCAGTAGCGGGCTTTTGGGAAGTAGATTGCCAGGCCTTTCTTCCAAAGTGCCTCTGAGTGGACTCAAACCTCCAACCTGTCGGTTAGCAGCCCAGCCCTTTAACTTTTTGCACCACCTACGGGCTCCTGAAAGAGTTCAGGTCTCAAAAATCAAAGGGAAAAAAAGGAAAACCCTGGCCCCTTTTTAATTCTTATTTCCCTAGGGCCTTGTCTCTGGGCCATTAATTCTTTCCCTTCAATTCTAAGCTACAGTGTTGGTTCCAAAGATGAACCAGAAGCTTGCTGCAATTCTTCCCCCTGAATTCCTTAGTGACTCTTCTCAGCCTAAGTTGCAATCCTGAATGGTAGCTACTTCACTGAGCCCTTGCGGGCAGAAAGGTCTCCCCTTAGCACCTTTGAAGGTCATGATGGCGATTTGGACCCCAGCGCGGTGCAGCCGCCGCAAACCCTCAGGCTCAGCCTTGCGGTCCTCGCAGAAGTAGAGACGCGCGGTGAAGATCCTCAGACTGAGGTTCGGGTATCCTCTCAGGAAGTCGGCCACATGCCGGGCACAGTCGTAGCAGGGGCTCCAGGAGGTGAACCAGGTGACACGGTAGCATCGGCCAGGGTCCAGATCCCAATCCGAGATGTAGCGGAGGAACAACAATTCCACGTGGCAACCGGACTGGAAAGAGGGCACAGGACTCAGCTGATGTTCATTTGACTTTCTTCGTGGTTCTGGTGGCTTTATATTCATTAGTTCATTTCCCTCCCACAGTGATCTTTTGGGGGTGTTTGCAGTTATTGTTCTCGTGTTACAGAGAAGCTAAGCAACTTGCCCAAGTGGTGAGTCAAACCCAGGTGGTGTGAGCAGAGGCTCTGGGCACTTTGTACGCCTGGCTCTGTGGAGTGAAGAAAGGCTATTGAAGTTTTGGGGGAATGTTAAGTTGTTTGGAGGACATAACCATCACACTGTCTCAGTAGAGATTAAATATATGTTTGTGAAGCTACATTTTGCATTTCTGAGGAGAAGGAAACTGGATTGAAAATGCCTGTTGATTTAACATTATGGAAATAAACCTATACCACTAGGTAGGAGTAGGACAACTTCAGAGGAAGGCTGGGAGGACAGGAAGAGGGACAATAGATTATGGTGAGGCAGACAGGTAGGTGTTGGAAGAGAGGCAATAGGCACTGCCATGGGCTGTTGTTGTTAGCTGCCGTCCCCATGTGTGCAGAGTGGAACTGCTCCATAGGGTTTTCAAAGCTGTGACTTTTCTTCATAAGCAGATCACCAGGCCTTTCTTCAGAGGCACCTCTACGTGGGTTCTAACTGCCAATCTTATGACTAATACTCAAATACTTAACCATTTGCACCACCCAGGGACTCCATGGCCTAAGAGCAATTAAATAATGTGTTTGGTCAAAATATGAGCTCTGCAATTGTAATAATAACCACAGAAGTGAAATATAGCAAGTTCACCTAGTGTTGCAGGAGAGTCAAATTATTTGTCTTGGAATCTGAAGACCTAGGCTCCATTTCCCAGCTCCACCACTCATGTGGCTTAGGCAAGTCACCGAGCTCTCGGATCTTCTATTTTCTCATCAAATCATTTGGAAACCAGAAGTCTGAGTCATTGTTGTTGTTGTTGTTGTTTTTTTTTTTCCTAAATTATTCTTCCTTAATTTTCAAAATTTCTAAAGACACAATTTGTTTTTCACATTTAAAATTTAGCTTAAATGAGCTGATAATACTCTCCCAAGTTCAAATGCTCTTACCATTGTGTCCTTCCTTAATCTCAAGGGTAATTCAGGTGTTGGGGAAAGGGAAGGAAAATTTGGGGCAGTGATAAGGCGTGGTATTAGGATGCCCAGTATGATTGGTGAGGACATTAAATGACATTACGTGGGACATGTCGGGTATGGTTGCATGGACATGAAAAAAGCGGGGGAGGGGTGAGGAGCCTAGTGGAGGCATAGCTGTGAAAAAGGCTGAAAGTAGTACCATCTGCAAGTGGCTCTAAAAGCTTATGAGGTTTAGCTTTTATCTGCCTGTGAAGCAAGCTTTACTTGATACCTGGTTGCGAAGGTGACCAAAGTCCAATGAAAAGGAGGTGGCACTATCCCGCCGCTTAACCACGTAGCACAGGTAGGTCTCATGCCGACCCCTGGCCCAGCGGACGTTTTTGAAGTGGTAAAGAAACTTCCTCCGCTTCAGCAGGAGGCTGTAGATAAGAGAAGAAATACAAGGAGTATAACTCAATCTCCAATCCCTACTGGCTTACTTTCAACTTTTTTATCTGTATTTACTTGGGCAAAACCAGAGCTGTCAGTGAAGATGCTCTTGCTTCCCTTGCTGGATGCCTTAGAGCTACTGAGCTTAGAAGCCATTATAAACCCCTTTTTCTGCTTATATTTGAGACCAGTTGAGAGCTATTCAGCAAGAACCCCAAACCCCAGCTCATAGAACAGTCAGTCTCCTGCAGCTGTCTTTTGAATACTCACTTGTGAATTACATATGCCAACTTGCTCCTCGGTTCCATAGTTACATTTTGAGGTTTCTCTTCTAATCTCTACCTAAGGTACCACAAACTCAACATGGCAAAATAGTATTCCTAAACCCCTCCCTACCCCAAACTGCCTCTCTTCCTGATGCCTCCCTCTCAGGTAACCAGGCTAGAAGCTTGGAATCATCTTTGATGTTTTATTCTTCCTCATTTCCCATATTTAATCAATCATCCAAATGTATGGATTCAAACCCTTAAATATGTCTTGAAATTGCGCCTGCTTTATTCCCTCTGTTCTCTGTTTCAGTCTAAGCTCTCGTCTTCTTTCACCTTTTCTGTTGTGGCAGCCTCTTAATTGGTCTTAATTGGTCCCTCTGCAAAGAACATTTTCCATGCCATCACCACAGTGATATCACAAAAACTCAGGTGTGACCATGTCATCTCCATGATGAAAAACCATTAATGACTGCCTTCTGCCCAAACTCCTTAATGTGGCAGTTAGACTGGTTTTCACAGTTGGACCTCAATCTACATTTCCAGCTTTGCATCCTAGTACTCTTTTTCTTTCTTTTCTTCACTTGCAGACCCCCTATGCAGCGGCCCGCTGGACCCAGTCTCCTCTGCTTCAGCTTTTGCTTTTCAGCCATTTTGACGCTGCTAGTGCAACCCACATACCCTTCAAAGCCTAACCTCAGTTTCAACCTCTCTACTAAGACCCTCACTATCTCAAAATTTCCATCCCAATAACAACAAACTAACCCCTCTAATTCCCCACTGCTCTTCGGCTTATCACTATCATATCACTTGCCCTTTGTTATCAATTGATTGCTAACTTCTTTGCCTCCCCAATTAAATTTTTTGCTCTTTGAGGCGAAGAATGTCACTTTGTAAGTATTTTTTAAGTATAGGAGCAATGCTTGATTACTGTTAAATTTGAATATTACAGAAAAGTAAAAAGAATTTTTAAATTTGGAATATCACCCATTGTATCACTAATGACAATTACTGTTAAAATTCTGATGTTCTTCCTTCTAGTCTTTTTGTAAGCATATATTTACATGATTTTGATTTATACCGATTATTGTAATTTTGTATTTTTCTCAGTTTTTAACTTGGAAGTACAATCTAAATATTTTGCTATGTTCAGACTCAGGGACTGATTGCTATTCCTCTTTGTTTCCCAGTTCCTAGCACAGTGTCTTGCGTATCTTAAGCGCTAAACTGAATTGAATTTGTAGAAATACTTTCTAACTTAAATTTCTTAAAAGAAATTCAGAGTTCCCACTACAGTTGTGAGCATAGTAACATAAGCTATATAGTGTTACAGTGTGGTTATTACTAAAGCATGAATGGTGTCTCTGGTTTTTGTCTCCGGTATTTTCCAGAAATGTATTTGCTCAATTTGTGGGGGATAGTGCTGCCTCCTAATGGCATCGGGCAGAAGTGCAGAGTAAGTGTAATGTATAGGCCTAGTTATAAGAATTTGAATACGGTTTGCTGGCAAGAGAATTGAAACTTTGTACTTTTTTTTTTAATACACTAAGGTATAATTTACATACAGTAAACTTCATCTATTTAAAATGTATGATTTAAATGAGTACTGGAAGATGTAAGCACCCCAAACTGCTACCAGAACCAAGATACAGAACATTTCCAGGGCACCCGACAAAGTTCCTTCATCCTCCTTCCCCTCTACTGAAGCCAACCACTGGTCTGTTTTCTGTAACTATAGATTAGTTTTCACTTTCTAGAATTTCACATAAATCATACGTTATCTAGTCCTCTATGCCTGGCTTTTTTCACTCAGCATAATGCCTTTGAGATTCACCCATGTTGTTACATGTACCATGAGTTTCCTCCCTTCTCCTGCTAGGTAGGAGCCCTGGTGATGCAGTGGTTAAGAGCTTGGCTGCTAACCAAAAGATGCGCAGTTCGAATCCACCATTCACTCTTTGGAAACCCTATAGGGCAGTTCTACTCGGTCACATAGGGTCACTGTGAGTTGGAATCGACTTGAAGGCAACAGGGTTGCTGTTACTGCAGGGTAGTATTCCACTGAATGGATAGGGCACATTTTATTATTCGGTCACTGTTATTGGACATATGGATTGTTTCCAGTTTGGGACTATTGTGAACAGAGCTGCTGTGAACACTCCTGTACCAGTCTTTTTTGTGGACATATATGTTGGGAGTTGACGTAATTTTAATAATGAGATGCAGGTGATAGACGGCGGTTTTAAAAGCTAACTACCAAAATTGCAACTTTATAAGTGGATAAGTACTCTTTAGCTGTTTCTATGTAAATGTCTCCTCTCATACACATGAAGCTTATTGGAAAGCACTTTACACCCTGAGGCAGAGAACTAGATTTATCACCAGTATACACATTATGCATATATTAGACAATTCAAAATTACTCAACCATTTTACTGTGCCCTTTTTTTTTAAATTAAGCAATTGCATATTTGGCAGGAATCTAAAATGGATGCTGACAAAGATCCAATAATAATTGGCTTTATTCTTAAACGACAAGAGCTTATTATAGTAATCAACATAGCACCACAACCATTACTATTACTGTTGTTATATAATTAGCATATAATAACCATTAGTGTATATAATCCCAATGCTTAATAAATACTGAAAAAGAAGAAAAGAATAAATATATTCTCTTCTGGGGGCCCAGTCAGTTTTAAACAGATTAAGCACCATCTCTTACTAATAAACCTCTTATACATTTAACCTACTCTCCTGGGCTGCATGGATGAGAAAGGCAGAGGAAAAAACTTGTTATCATGAAGAAGAAAAAGCATTCCAGGAGTATAGACGAAAAGGCATGACATCGAGTTCAGATGGACTTTTTACTTCTTACTCCACATGAAAAGGAGCCCTGGTGGCACAGTGGTTAAAGCACTTAGCTGCTAACCAAAGGTCAGTGGTTCAAACTCACTAGCCACTCCAAGGGAGAAAGATGTGGCAATCTGCTTCTCTAAAGATTACAGCTTTGGAAACCCTATGCAGCAGTTCTACTCTGTCCTATATGGTCTCTATGAGTAGGAATCAACTCAGTGACAGTGGATTTGGTTTTGAGTACCCCACATGAAAATACAATAGTCCCTTTTTCTGTTACAAGCTACCAGTCACAGTGAAATGATTTCCATGATCATAACCTGTTAATTAATTTTCTTGATCCATCATTTCCCTTCTATTCTAGCTAGTAGCCTGTCTCTAGCACCCTGTTGTTCAGCAACCAAACCCGCTGCTGTTGAGTCTATTCCAACTCATGACAATCCCATGTGTTACAGAGTAGAACTCTTCGTCGGATTTTCTTGGCTGTAATCTTTATGGAAGCAGATCGCCAGGCCTTTCTTCCATGCCACCGCTGGGTGAGTTTGAACCACCAGCCTTTAGGTTAGTAGCCAATGGCAAACTGCTTGCACCACCTACGGCCTGTTGGGGGTGTAGAGGAGTTTTTTTTTCTGGGTGCAAAGGATGTTGCAGAAGCAAGGTTTCAAGGCTGCTTGTTGACAGCTGCTCTGAACAGCTGGGTTCCCTGAGGCAGAACCCTAGCTGTGTCCTCAGCAATGCAAACCAGAGATAAACAGGTAAAAAATAATCCTGACAAACTTATTCTCTCCTGTGGGGTGCCGTCACTACTAAGCACGGCAGATATTATTTTCCTTAATGATAATTATGTATTTCTCCCGTTGAATTTCATCTTTTCTCCTTTTTAATTTGTCTTTCTCTGAGTCTTAGCTGCTGATTTTACCACTGCTTTGCATTTCATTACGTACAAGTATCTCCACTGGACTTGCACCTTTGACAACAGAGTTTCATTGACTTGTACCTCAGGTTGGTTTTTTAAATAACTGTCAAAATCTCACTGTAAACTGAGGAAGCATTCAACACTGTTTGCCCTCAAGAAAAATTTCTGAAGAACACTTACATCTACTATTAAAAATCTTAACTCTGTAGTGTAAATTCTATATAAAAGCATTAAATTCAGATAAAGTATATGGATTGGCATGATTCTAATACATTTGTAATCATCATAAAAATTGAGATAGAATTCTATGATAATAACTTAGTTATCATGAACTGCATGTATAGACATTATGAAAATCTTACAGAAACCATATTTAAGAAGTGAAGCCATGTGTACACAAATCCAAGTGCCTTGTTAAAAACTAAAAATGCCACCAACTGCCTAACAATTGGACCTTTACCATTAAATAACTTGCTTGAATAAATTTTTCTCCTTATTATAGTCAGAATCATAGTGCCTTTCAGGCATTTAATTTTGAATGATTGGTATTTTTTTAAAAATACAGATTTTCTTACTATGTAGCTAAATTGTTCAGTAACATCACCCTAGGAAAGTTCATCTTCAAGTGGTTTGACTGTTGAAATATTTACAAAATTATTATTACAATTACCTCTGGTTTTTGTATAGTATTGCTGGTATCTTTTCACGATAACATTTGCTGTATTAATATTATTACTATACACTACTTTTACCTGCAACACAAAACTCAGGACATGTCAGTACATGGTGCATAAAAGTTCTTATGCAACCTGGAAAAGAGGTAGAAGCGTAGAGCACAGAGGATTAAGCTGAGAGCGTGCAAAATCTAAATAGAACATGATAGATAAGACAGACCCAGAAGAATAAGTAAGCATATTAAACAAACAGATCTTGTGAGTTCCACAGGAGAGAAAGGAATACATAGATACCAACCTCATTATTCAGATTTGCTCTGAGAGGAAAGCCAGTGAAACCACCCATTGGCAGACCCATGAGGTGACTGCCTCTTTACCTGTCCATATCGGTTTCCAGGGTGTCTTTCTTGGTGGCTCCCTCAAAGTCTTAGGCCAAGTGCCTAAGACTCAAGCACTGCTGCTTCACTGACTCCGTCTGACAGTGTGTAAGCACTGGCCCCACACATTCAAATTTGAGCTTGCACTTTTGGGCTCCTCCCCCCAGCACTACCATCACCAGGTACCCCAATGATCTTCCTCCTGATTTGGGTCCAGGGAAGATAGGAGGTGTTGTCACAGGCAGCATCACATGGGTTAAATGATTGACAGCAGCTTTGCTTAATGCTTAGGGTCCTCTAGGGCAGCTTCTCTAAAAATCCAGTCCATGCCTCACAGACATCAAATATCCAGATGCAGTGGCAGTAAGCACTGTTTAAATTATAATCATGGTAACAAATAATATCCTTAAATTTAAAAGCCTAATAATTATAATGTTCATTTAAATAGTGTTCTGTGAGCTGAAAGCATCTATTACCTTATTTAATTACACAATAGCTCGGAATCTTCATAGAGACAGGCACTAAACAGCTCCTGCTTTATTGCTGAGCAAGTAAACTCAATCAGTTATAGGACTTAGGACACAGAAATTTTCCTTCCCAAATCACTGTTTTTTTCTTTCTGATTGCATTACAGCAATTGCTAGAAGACTAAATGTTTACCCCAAAGAGTAATTTTTGCACAAGCCATCTTTTCCACAAAATCATATCTTTAATTTGAAAACAGATGCAGCAGCACCCTAAACAATATCAAAATGCTTATTTCACCAGAAAAAAAGCAGTATCTAAATGACTGCGTTGAACTCAGAAAATAGGCTGGGCTTTTCAAATAA